GAAGCAGCACAACTGTTTTCTGCAATCCCTTTCTCATGTTTGTCCTCTAGATGAGCTGATCCCTGGGAGCCCGAGGAAAGACGGGCAGGATCCGGCTGAGCTTCGGCCCTTCTCTAAACCGGAGCTGGCACTCACTCAGAGCTTCCGGCTGCTCGGCTCGGACGACTGGTGAGACGGAGCACACGGTCACACGGTCACATGGTCACACGGTCACACGGTCACACGGTCACACGGTCACACGGTCACATGGTCACATGGGATGGGCGATATACTATCGTTTGCGATTATACCGGTAACATATTCTCCTCACGATAACAATTAGTCTTCCCGCGATAATAACGAGTAACCATTACTAGTACTTCTAGATAATAATTCCTCGAAACTCTGAACACAAAATACTGTCAAATAAAACCATAGTTAAAATCATTCACAGAATTTGGTTGCGCTGTTATGAATATTAAATAGTCACGTGACGTCTCTAATTAATATTCATTAACCGAGCCTTTCTTTTTGAATTTGTCGACTAATAAATATTCATACTAAAAAAATGAAATACATTAATTAAGGCGAGACACGGCAGGCAAAAACATAGTTTTTTTTTCACTGGTCAATTTTGAGATTTCGGGATATTTGTCTTCAAAAACATGTCTTCTTTCAGACTTGTGGTGAAAAAAAGTCCGAAATACACATTTAGGTCTTTATTTTACTACACTTTTGTCTGTTTGCGTCTGTAGATTTCTCATAAATTCATCAAAAGTTGGCGTTGTAAATCATCCGTTGCTCCGCGATCGCAATCTGCACCCTGTCATCACACACACCATTAGAAAGCTCTCTCTCTCTTGTACAATGCTGTCAGATCCAAATATGGTTATTTCCTTTTCATCAGCAACCAGTCGTGAAAGTAAAAGGGCGCAAATGCGCAATCTCATTGGCTGATGCTAAATCTTTAAAGCCCGTTTTCTCAAAATGACTTTTCTCTCATACTCAAAGTCCGAAATCTCCACTTCGGTAGCACCTATATACACACCAAACTTTCCAGTCTTGTACCTAGTTATATTATGAAGACATTTACTGAGGGATTTGTAAATATATTATTCCTAGCCCGATTTATATAACATTTTATTCCAAAAAACATGGCAAAAATCATTTTTTGACAGTCTATTCTGACAGTCTATTCTGATTTATAGGATAACAAAAGTAGATATCCATAAATCCCTCTGTAATCCCTTTTTCCCATCTAATATGTGAACACAATGAAAAAAGAATTTTGAACATGGCTTTATCCAATACCCAGATTTCATTGTTTGAAATATATGCAAATTAGCGCATATTTAATTAGATAATGCCTAATTTGCATATTTAAACATTAAATGACAGAAAACTTGTAATACATTTTTTTCTCATCTTAATATAGGTAATCAACTGGGAAAGTTTCATGGTGATATCTGCTAGTTAAAAAAATTACCCTATTCACCTGTAGTGTCTCGCCTTAATAAAAAAATACACCTACAGCAGTGAAATGAGATTTCACTTCCATCAGAAAATTATTCATTTTCAAATCATTGAGTTTTGAACCTCTGTACTACTGACGGTAAATATGATTCTATACTTTCAAATCCTTTAAAAACATTAATTCTATAAAGCTATCCGAGAGAACGATAGAGTTTATTGATATAATAACGATAAAGTCTAGCTGATGACGCATTTCTTTCTGGGACCGCATTCGCAGCTCACGTGCGCCCGAGTTTATTTCTAAACCAGGAACAATCTGAACAATCTGTAATCTACACAGAGAAGATATCGAGATCCATATCGCCCATCGCTGATGCTCACGCCACTGTCCAGCACTGTCCGTCTCATGTGTTCTGTTCCTGAAGGGAGAAGAAGATCGAGGGGCTGAACTTCATGCGCAGTCTGGCTCAGTATCACCCCGATGTCCTCGCCAGCAGGACTCACGACGTGTGCCTCGCGCTCCTACAGGAGGTCAGTGTGAGGACCATCTTCATCATCTTCATCATCCTCATCCACTCACTTCAGTCTGTCCTGCGCCTCTGCACTGCAACACATGCTGTTCCTACTCATGCCTTCGTCTGGTTTACAGTCCAAACTACTAAACATTCTTAAATCCAGATGATTTTTTAAAGTAGTAAGATGCCATAAGATATTATTTCGTGAACAAGCAAAATAGTCGTAATTCGAATGGAAAACTAGATTATTTTTCTGACCCCATTGGCTGATCATTTTGTTTGTTTTAAGAAAAAACTATTTTTCCCCCCAGAAAACAAGATGTAATGTCTAATGGGATTTTACTCATCTAGTAAATGCTTCTTGATTTAAGATTTTTTAGATATTTGGACTGGAAACAAGATTTTATTTTTTTTGCAGTGGTAATGTGTGACGTCATTTGCTCTCACAAACAAGTTATTTCTGTAGCGCTTTATACAATACAGATCTATTCATAGCAGCTTCACAGTGATAAACAGAAAAACAACAGCTTTAAAGTGGCACTATTAAAGTTTTTTCGTATATAATCATTCATGTAGTGTGTACTAAAGCTGTTTGGAGTTTTTGTCTCCTAAAAGAAAGAAGTGATTCTGAACTGAAGCAAGTCGTCAGTAATTCAGTCAGTGTAGGTTTGTAACTCATTAGCATAATGCCCGCCTCTGGTCCTGATTGGCTGAGCAGCGTCTCTTGGCCCCGCCCTCAAACACTAGTGTATCTGAGACTGGAAGAGTTTGGTTCGTGTTGTTCTCCACTGTGATGAGATTGAGACGTGAAACCCACGCCATCGTTACTGTTCGTATCACTGTGATCAAGAGCTGAGATTCAGATATGATAATGAGCGTTCTGACCAATCAGAGCAGAGCAGCTCTCAGAGAGGCGGGGCTTAGAGAGACTGAATCCTCGATGGAAGCGTTTCAGACACTGAGAGGAAAGAGCTGAAGCTGCAGTGGAGATTATGAGGACATTAGTGTGTGTAATGTGTGTGAAGCTGTTATAGGAGGCCAGCAGAGCAACATTAGGAGGCTTTATGATGGCATAATAGGGCACTTTAATGTTGTAAAATTCATCAATTATGAAAGATTGTTTTGCGCTGCTCTCCAGGACTGAGCTCAGTGTAATGCCTGATCTCTGCAGGTGCGTAACCTGCGCTCGGGCGTGTCGCGCGTGGCGGTGGCGGCGCTGGGCGAGATGTTCGCGGCGCTGCAGAAGGGAATGGACCAGGAGCTGGACGGGGCGGCCCGAGTGTTGCTGCAGAAAGCCGGAGAATCCAACGCCTTCATACGGCAGGACGCGGAGCGAGCGCTGGAGCGCATGTGTGAACACTGCTCTCTGACCCGCAGCATGAGCGCGCTACTCACCGGGGGACTGGGGTCAGCACACACACACACACACGACAAGCTTCTGTTTTGCTGTTCACATGCTAAAACGTGTTTGTGTTTGTGTCATCAGTCACCTGAGCTCGGTTGTGCGTAAGTGTGCGGCTCAGCATGTGTGTGTTCTGGTGGAGAGAGCCGGTGCTGCTCGTCTGCTGTCCGGGACCAAAGACCTGACCGACCGCATCCTTCCCGCCGTCTCCAAGCTGGCACAGGACTCGTCTCAGGAGGCCAGGTGAGCAGGGGTCAGAGGTCAGGTGAGCCATGGGGTCAGAGGTCAGGTGAGCCATGGGGTCAGAGGTCAGGTGAGCAGGGGTCAGAGGTCAGGTGAGCATGGGTCAGAGGTCAGGTGAGCAAGGGGTCAGAGGTCAGGTGAGCCAGGGGTCAGAGGTCAGGTGAGCATGGGTTAGAGGTCAAGTGAGCGAGGGGTCAGAGGTCAGGTAAGCCAGGGGTCAGAGGTCAGGTGAGCAGGGGTTAGAGGTCAGGTGAGCCAGGGGTCAGAGGTCAGGTGAGCATGGGTTAGAGGTCAGGTGAGCGAGGGGTCAGAGGTCAGGTGAGTCAGAGGTCAGGTGAGCAGGGGTTAGAGGTCAGGTGAGGCAGGGGTCAGAGGTCAGGTGAGTCAGAGGTCAGGTGAGCCAGGGGTCTGAGGTCTGGTGATTACAGTTTCTGTACCTAAAAATCTTAAAACACTGTTTTTCGTATCTTTGTTCAGTTGTGTCTATTTGTTGCGATTGCTAATTTTTTACTTGAAGTGTATATTAGTTCGGCTAGTTGTTCTTCTATGGTATTTTTAACCCACAGGCAAATGTTCCTTGTTTAAGTGTTCTTTAGCCTGATGATTTGTGTTCATGATATTCAGCTACAATTAAATGTTTTGCAATAACACTAAATGTGAATGATATCTAAGTTTTATTTATTTTTTTCCTTATTGGAATCGAAATTAGGAATCGATAAGAATCGAAATTGTTTAAATTCAAAGGATGCCCAACGCTAGTGATGTGTGTCTCTCAGGTACTTCGGGCGACGGATGCTGCTGTTTCTGTCCTCTCACCGGGACTTCGACAAAATGATGGAGAAGTTCGTCCCGGCTAAAGACCTGCCGGCCATCAGGGACGCCGTCTTCACTCTCAAGACCAAGGTGTGCTGTCAGTCATGTGTGTGTGTGTGTGTGTGTGTGTGTGTACCACAACACGTCTGCAGGGCTCCACGTTAGCGCTTGTCCGGGACAAGTGGAGTTTTTGAATGGACAAGTGAAAGAGAATTTAGCTTGCCCGACCGGACAATAACCTGAAATGTCAATAACAAAAAATAGCTAGGGAATCACCAAAACACGAGAATGATTTTGCATTCTTTTAGTGTAAGTGGCGATTGATAGTGAATAATAATATAATGACGAAGTCTACTCTACTCTACTGTACTCCACCTCTACTGTACCCCACCTCTACTGTACTCCACCTCTACTGTACCCCACCTCTACTGTACTCTACTGCACTCTACTGTACTCTACCTCTACTGTGCTCTACCTCTACTGTACTCTACTGTACTCTACCTCTACTGTACTCTACTGTACTCTACCTCTACTGTACTCCACCTCTACTGTACTCTACTGTACTCTACCTCTACTGTACTCTACTGTACTCTACTGTACCCCACCTCTACTGTACTCTACTGTACTCTACCTCTACTGTACTCTACTGTACTCCACCTCTACTGTACTCTACTGTACTCCACCTCTACTGTACTCTACTGTACTCTACCTCTACTGTACTCTACTGTACTCTACTGTACCCCACCTCTACTGTACTCTACTGTACTCTACCTCTACTGTACTCTACCTCTACTGTACTCTACTGTACTCTACCTCTACTGTACTCTACTGTACTCTACCTCTACTGTACCCCACCTCTACTGTACTCCACTGTACTCCACCTCTACTGTACCCCACCTCTATTGTACTCTACTGTACTCTACCTCTACTGTACTCTACTGTACTCTACCTCTACTGTACTCCACCTCTACTGTACCCCACCTCTACTGTACTCTACTGTACTCTACCTCTACTGTACTCACCTGTACTCTACCTCTACTGTACTCTACTGCACTCTACCTCTACTGTGCTCTACTGTACTCTACCTCTACTGTACTCCACCTCTACTGTACTCTACTGTACTCTACATCTACTGTACTCTACCTCTACCTCTACTGTACTTCACCTCTACTGTACTCTACTGTACTCTACCTCTACTGTACTCCACCTCTACTGTACTCTACTGTGCTCCACCTCTACCGTACTCCACCTCTACTGTGCTCCACCTCTACTGTACTCTACTGTACTCCACCTCTACTGTACTCTACTGTACTCTACCTCTACTGTGCTCTACTGTACTCTACCTCTACTGTACTCCACCTCTACTGTACTCTACTGTACTCTACATCTACTGTACTCTACCTCTACCTCTACTGTACTTCACCTCTACTGTGCTCTACTGTACTCTACCTCTACTGTACTCCACCTCTACTGTACTCTACATCTACTGTACTCTACCTCTACCTCTACTGTACTTCACCTCTACTGTGCTCTAAGGTACTCTACCTCTACTGTACTCCACCTCTACTGTACTCTACTGTACTCTACCTCTACTGTACTCTACTGTACTCCACCTCTACTGTACTCTACTGTACTCCACCTCTACTATACTCTACTGTACTCCACCTCTACTGTACTCTACCTCTACTGTACTCCACCTCTACTGTACTCTAGTGCACTCCACCTCTACTGTACTCTACCTCTACTGTACTCCACCTCTACTGTACTCCACCTCTACTGTACTCTGCTGTACTCCACCTCTACTGTACTCTACTTTACTCTACCTCTACTGTACTCTACTGTACTCTACCTCTACTGTACTCTACTGTGCTCTACTGTACTCTACTGTGCTCTACCTCTACTCTACTCTACGGTACCCTACCTCTACTCTACTCTACTGTACTCTACCTCTACTGTACTCTACTGTACTCTACCTCTACTGTACTCTACTGTACTCTACCTCAACTGTACTCTACCTCTACTGTACTCTACTGTTCTCTACCTCTACTGTACTCTACCTCTACTGTACTCTACTGTACTCTACCTCTACTGTACTCTACTGTACCCTGCTGTACTCTACTGTACTCTACCTCTACTGTGCTCTACCTCTACTGTACCCTACCTCTACTGTACTCTGCCTCTACTGTACTCTACCTCTACTGTACTCCACCTCTACTGTACTCCACCTCTACTGTACTCTACTGTACTCTACATCTACTGTACTCTACCTCTACTGTACTCCACCTCTACTGTACTCTACTGTACTCTACCTCTACTGTACTCCACCTCTACTATACTCTACTGTGCTCCACCTCTACTGTACTCTAGTGCACTCTACCTCTACTGTACTCTACCTCTACTGTACTCTACTGTACTCCACCTCTACTGTACTCCACCTCTACTGTACTCTACTGTACTCTACCTCTACTGTACTCCACCTCTACTGTACTCCACCTCTACTGTACTCTACTGTACTCTACCTCTACTGTACTCCACCTCTACTGTACTCTAGTGCACTCCACCTCTACTGTACTCTGCTGTACTCCACCTCTACTGTACTCTACTGTACTCTACCTCTACTGTACTCCACCTCTACTGTACTCCACCTCTACTGTACTCTACTGTACTCTACCTCTACTGTACTCTACTGTACTCTACCTCTACTGTACTCTACTGTGCTCTACCTCTACTGTACTCTACTGCGCTCTACTGTACTCTACCTCTACTGTTCTCTACCTCTACTGTACTCTACCTCTACTGTACTATACCTCTACTGTACTCTACTGTACCCTGCTGTACTCTACTGTACTCTACCTCTACTGTGCTCTACCTCTACTGTACCCTACCTCTACTGTACTCTGCCTCTACTGTACTCTACCTCTACTGTACTCCACCTCTACTGTACTCCACCTCTACTGTACTCCACCTCTACTGTACTCTGCTGTGCTCTACCTCTACTGTACTCCACCTCTACTGTACTCTACTGTACTCTACCTCCACTGTACTCCACCTCTACTATACTCTACTGTACTCTACCTCTACTGTACTCTACCTCTACTGTACTCCACCTCTACTGTACTCCACCTCTACTGTACTCTACTGTACTCCACCTCTACTGTACTCCACCGTACTCTACCTCTACTGTACTCCACCTCTACTGTACTCCACCTCTACTGTACTCTACTGTACTCTACCTCTACTGTACTCTACCTCTACTGTACTCTACTGTACTCCACCTCTACTGTACTCTACTGTGCTCTACTGTGCTCTACCTCTACTGTACTCTACTGTGCTCTACTGTGCTCTACCTCTACTGTACTCTACGGTGCTCTACTGTACTCTACCTCCACTGTACTCTACTGTACTCTACCTCTACTGTACTCTACTGTGCTCTACCTCTACTGTACTCTACTGTGCTCTACTGTACTCTACCTCTACTGTACTCTACTGTACTCTACCTCTACTGTACTCTACCTCTACTGTACTCTACTGTACTCTGCCTCTACTGTACTCTACCTCTACTGTACTCTACCTCTACTGTACTCCACCCTACTGTACTCTACTGTACCCCACCTCTACTGTACTCCACCTCTACTGTACTCCACCTCTACTGTGCTCCACCTCTACTGTACTCTACTGTACTCTACCTCTACTGTACTCCACCTCTACTGTACTCTACTGTACTCTACATCTACTGTACTCTACCTCTACCTCTACTGTACTTCACCTCTACTGTACTCTACCTCTACTGTACTCCACCTCTACTGTACTCTACTGTGCTCCACCTCTACTGTACTCTACCTCTACTGTACTCTACTGTACTCTACCTCTACCGTACTCTACCTCTACTGTACTCTACTGTACTCTACCTCTACTGTACTCTACCTCTACTGTACTCTACTGTACTCTACCTCTACTGTACTCTACCTCTACTGTACTCTACTGTACTCTACCTCTACTGTACTCTACTGTGCTCCACCTCTACTGTACTCTACCTCTACTGTACTCTACTGTACTCTACCTCTACTGTACTCTGCCTCTACTGTACTCTACTGTACTCTACCTCTACTGTACTCTACCTCTACTGTACTCTACTGTACTCTACCTCTACTGTACTCTACCTCTATTGTGCTCTACCTCTACTGTACTCTACTGTACTCTACCTCTACTGTACTCTACCTCTACTGTACTCCACCTCTACTGTACTCCGCCTCTACTGTACTCTACCTCTACTGTACTCTACTGTACTCTACCTCTACTGTACTCCACCTCTACTGTACTCTACTGTGCTCCACCTCTACTGTACTCTACTGTACTCTACCTCCACTGTACTCCACCTCTACTGTACTCTACTGTACTCTACATCTACTGTACTCTACCTCTATCTCTACTGTACTTCACCTCTACTGTACTCTACCTCTACTGTACTCCACCTCTACTGTACTCTACTGTACTCTACCTCTACTGTACTCTACTGTACTCCACCTCTACTGTGCTCTACTGTACTCCACCTCTACTGTACTCTACTGTGCTCCACCTCTACTATACTCTACTGTACTCCACCTCTACTGTACTCTACCTCTACTGTACTCCACCTCTACTGTACTCTAGTGCACTCCACCTCTACTGTACTCTACCTCTACTGTACTCCACCTCTACTGTACTCCACCTCTACTGTACTCTGCTGTACTCCACCTCTACTGTACTCTACTTTACTCTACCTCTACTGTACTCTACTGTACTCTACCTCTACTGTACTCTACTGTGCTCTACTGTACTCTACTGTGCTCTACCTCTACTCTACTCTACGGTACTCTACCTCTACTCTACTCTACTGTACTCTACCTCTACTGTACTCTACTGTACTCTACCTCTACTGTACTCTACTGTACTCTACCTCAACTGTACTCTACCTCTACTGTACTCTACTGTTCTCTACCTCTACTGTACTCTACCTCTACTGTACTCTACTGTACTCTACCTCTACTGTACTCTACTGTACCCTGCTGTACTCTACTGTACTCTACCTCTACTGTGCTCTACCTCTACTGTACCCTACCTCTACTGTACTCTGCCTCTACTGTACTCTACCTCTACTGTACTCTACCTCTACTGTACTCTGCCTCTACTGTACTCTACCTCTACTGTACCCTACCTCTACTGTACTCTGCCTCTACTGTACTCTACCTCTACTGTACTCCACCTCTACTGTACTCCACCTCTACTGTACTCTACTGTACTCTACATCTACTGTACTCTACCTCTACTGTACTCCACCTCTACTGTACTCTACTGTACTCTACCTCTACTGTACTCCACCTCTACTATACTCTACTGTGCTCCACCTCTACTGTACTCTAGTGCACTCTACCTCTACTGTACTCTACCTCTACTGTACTCTACTGTACTCCACCTCTACTGTACTCCACCTCTACTATACTCTACTGTACTCTACCTCTACTGTACTCCACCTCTACTGTACTCCACCTCTACTGTACTCTACTGTACTCTACCTCTACTGTACTCCACCTCTACT